ACATTATAAACTTGAAGAACTGGGGATTCAAAGGTGTTGTCTACAGAGGCTTCAGACAAACCTCTTTCTCTCACGCCTTCTGGGTTACCAATTGCATCGGAAGCTTGTATCAGACCGCACTGTCTACATGTTTGTCTGACTGCTGTCTTGATCTTTGCACAGTTAGCAGCGGAACCTCAGCAACATCATCAAAATTTATATATAGTGAATGCATTATGCTCACTGTCTAGTAACACAAGTGTCTTCGTCAGTCTATCTTTCGAGAGCTAAAGGCGAATATTAGCGTTCATAAAAGGGCTGTTCAGATTGAAACCATAGTAGTGTTTGGAAAAAGTCGCACTTAATATTGCGTCATCAATACCAGTGGTGTTCATTCTAGAGGATATCACCCGGTACAATTTAGCTTAGGCTTCTAAAAAGTTACTAACTCACGTAGGCCTTTAGATCGCGTCAGAAAACTTTACTCTTTACTTTCATTAGTCAACGTAGCTGTGACATCACCATGTCCATACGTTAGTGAATGGCCTGTCCAATTAGGTCCTACAGATCCAAGACGAAATAAGTGCTCTGAAAAATCAAAATACTCAGGCCCTGACAAAAGTCCATCGGCTCCATCCAAATTTGGTAGAAATTTAACAACCAAAGAAATGGTGTAGTTCTACAGGAAAGTTTAAACTAACGAAAGTATTCTTGACTTATTTGGCGTGTCAATTTTTGTCGGTATCCCATAGCAATTCCACCAAGGTAGATTGTGCCAATTACTGTGGAATTCCGTTGATCTCTGTCTAACATATTTCTGTCAGCCATACTTCTTAGGATTTCTAGGAGAGGGTAAAGCTGGCATCCAAGCAGAATAAATTTACTATGATTCAAGCTTCCTTATTCTCAAATTGCGCCACATCCAAGGAAGACCGAAAATGGAAGGTTCTTGAATATACAGTCGGGCTTGATGTCGCATGTAGTTATGCATTGTGCTACTCTTTGGTGCGGAAATGTGTACTCGAGAAATCTGTAAATTTCTGCAATAACTGTACAGAAACTATTGGGAAAAGTTAGGGATTGCAATATTTACCCTTTGTTTTCATTAGCCGGTTTTGCAAAGTTCATCCTATTTTACTCGTTCTCTTAACTTTTACTATTAGAAATGATGTCCAACGGGTATTACATGACATGAAGTGGGATTTTTCCCCTCTGTCTGTAGAATGATCGATATTTTATGATAAGGGCTTTTAAAAATATTATGGACAGCTTATCCATGAATGCGTCAAAATATGGCATGTACTCAACACCGGTTAAATGCAGATGTGTAACCAAGACTTTGACATTCTGAATAACGGTTTAAGCATCATTCAACCAAGAACAGTGTTATAATAAATGTAACAGAAAGCCGGTGGTATATTTTGTATTCACCGTAATATCCACGTTCTCATACAAGTTAATCGGTTCACTCAGATTTGTTAGAGATGTCTTTCTTCGTCTCGTCGTCACTCGACGAACCGAATTCAACTCACGTAATGTAGATTGTGTAACGAAGTGTCGAGTTCGTTATTAAAAATAGATGGCGTAGGCGCCAAATTGAAAATATCAAATAAGTGTTTCGCCACCAAGAAATTCGATAAAAGAAATAATTCCGACAATCTTTGAAGTGAATATGTTGATTTGCCAGTTTTAGCTAGTGACTCCTTATTTTTGGGTTGCGGATACATTTCATTGGGTGGCACCAATTGTGATCTGTGTCCACAGGATCTGGTACAGCAAAATGGCATCACCTTGAGTCGGCGATAAGTTCCGCTGTATAGCAGATGAAAAAAGACCATCATATTTTGGCTTCGGTATCTGCACTAAATCCAGTACTACTTTTAGCCAGGGCTGTCAGACCAGAATAGCGTGCTCTATACGTCTTCACGCTTACACATTTAGCAAGTAAAGGAATATGGTGTCGAACATCCCGAAAGCTTTCCGCGGTTTTGGAAGCCTTTAAACATTGCTCCTAAGAACCGAAATCTTCTGACCTTACCACCTCAAAGTCGTTCACCTATGCGACAACCTTCTAGATGTGTTCTCCAAGCTAACATAAGTAAGCGCGCTTGTGGCGCACATGTGCAGATTTCAACGCCAGAGTGTAACTTAATTAGTCTTACTTTTGATCAGTCAAAGCACAGCCTATGTTTCGTTGCTGCGGATCACGATCCACCTGAATACCATTCAGCCTTCATATCTTGATGACATGGACAAAAATCTGTAAATTCCACAACTTGGCATATGCTAGTTTATTGATGAAGACCGAGAATAAACCCGATCTAAACACGGATCTTTGTGGAACAATTCAATCCACAGCAAAAAGATCGGAAAATGAGTGACGAAACCGAACAATGAGTCACGCCGAAGAAGAAAGTTTTAATTTATCCTAATCTCCGTTTTCCAATTCTGGATGTTGCATTTCTGGAAAAGGATTTGGTGATCTAACGAGTCCTAGTCTCCGCATATCGGCCGTTTCCGTCCAACAGTAGTACACAATTCCCACTTCGGTAGTACATAACCGATGCTGACAAAATCCGTGCTGCTACGGCGCAGGATGTTAGAACGTTCTAAATAGCCTTAGCTATGATAGACAACATCAAGTTTGAGAACTCTGGAAGGAGATCCAGTAGGCAAGAGAAAACGGACTCCAAACGGCTATTACCCCTAAAAAGCAAATTAATAATAACCAGCTATCACAGGATAAAAAATCGTCGTCCTTTCAGGTATTTGGAAATAATCGGGTTTATAGCTCTGCTCTCCTCACAGCTGCCACCTGTAGTGCTCTCGAGAGCATGTTGTCAAGTTCGGAGAAATTATAGGTGCGTAGCGAGGGAGGATTCTTTAAAACCTTCGCTGAACTAAATGTGACTCCTGTAAATACTAATGGGGGATATGACATGTATGTAACAGACATATTTCGCCGTTTTAACAGTGTTATTTCGCTTCTTATCTGTCCCTAAAACTCAAATTATAACCAGTTTAGTTATGTTGAGATACAATTAAGTTAAACCAACATTATTGATGGTTAGCCTTTAGATCATGTGAGACTATATTGGGTGTATTCCGTTTACCTAGTAATGAGGTGTGTGAGTGTTAGTTTACTAGCACAACATCATTAGCATTCGTTTATCTCCTTACGCTCTAAGTACTATTCACATACTAGGTCGCCTTGTAAACGGATTTTAGTGTTACTGGAATTACCACCTTTATGTCACAGAATCTTAGCACAGTATCCAATTACTTAAGATAAGATCCTTAGTTAACATAGTCTGTAAGAATTTTGAATAATAAGGATCTTAAGCTTCTTATTTGTCTAGCAAAATGCTGTTCATTAGTGTCATAGGGAGAAATGGGTCATGGAAACGATGTTAGAAAAAAGCACCTACTCGAGTTGCATTCTGCATCAAGGAGACGAAAACTCGTGTGTGACACGGAGCGCAAATGTTAGGTCTATGCTCATCCAGCCACTGACTTTACGCGCCATGAACTTAATGCTTCGTAGGCAGTGACAGTGCTACAAACGTTTCGGTATAGTAGTATATCGCATCGGAAGATGTATATTTTGCTACAGGTTCGGGAGCCTTATTATCCGGAATGCTCTTAAGATGATTACATTTTGATTGAGCCCTGCACTCATCAAACAAAGAATGATTACTTTCTGGAGCATGATATCAGCTGCGAATGTTAATAGGTATACGCAAAACTTTTGGAATGCATTTAATTAGCCGTTAGATTTGTTGTAATTCATTTAGCGTCTATTTCATGACATTGCAAAATTCCCGTTTTTGTATCTGCATGAATCTTATATCCGTGAATACGAGTAAATAAATAATCCGTCCCAGTGCATAGATATCACAGTTAAATAAACCGAATTAGGACGAGCTTTTGGCCTGTCGCGCAAGTTACAACCTTAATATAACTTTTGAGCACGCGTCAATCTAATAACTTATTTCAATTGAGGGATTCCCAGTGTAAAAATCCAGTATATTTCTTAAGCAATGACCGACATTAGAGAAAATCTGTTAAAATCTAACTGGCACAATGCTGTCTGTTCAATTTATTTGCGATACATTGAAATCGTCTGCTGCCAGCCTGTGCATAACAGCTAATTAAGTAATGCTTTCGAATGCGATTAATATCGATTATAGTTAAATCACGTTTCTTTTAAGATTTGGTAGCTTATTCGCGTGCATATGCAAATATGTAGAAGTCGTTATGTATAATGAGCTAAAAAAGATCATCCATTTTATCAATTAATGTAGAATACGAAGTTGCTTTTATGAATGACTCGCATGTATTGCACAACCTTTTCCAATACTATGCTGTCAATTTTCTCCAAAGTTATTTTATCCGAAAACTAATTTCTTCTACTATAAAGCATCATTCCTGTGCTAATAATTAGAGATGAATTAACTGTCGCGCTTAAATGTCAACATAATGCAGTGTAACAAATCCCTTTCAAATGAAAGATGGCGCAAGTTGAGGAGAGTAACAGATGTTCAGTTGTGTTAATTGATTGTGCTTTCAATTCATTAAAGTTATGTTTAAAGTTTTATCTTTCTCGTTTCATTCCTACCATATTATGTTTTTGCTGGGTATTTCCTTTTCATCCATTTGGAACTGTTTTATTAAACACCATGTGATAATAGCTACACAATGCTTCCCAAACATTTTAGCATTACCCCAGGTATTTAAAGATATACCATTATTTACAACCCATTGAATGTTGTTGCTGTGCTAACTAGAATGTACAGAATAAAATACAGTACATATATCAAAAATTAACACTGACCTCGAGTATGCAGGTTCAAGCACGTATATTACTGAGTTTCATCAATGCAAAACACTGAGCTATATTATTGCAAACTGTTTGCCTTACAATTTCCGCACGTAGACGGAAGTGTTTTGTGCCTTACCTCAGCTGGTAGGTAGATTTATTGCCAACTGTCTACACAACACTATTTAAATTTTCACTAAAGATGTCGTGGTGGAAGGAGGGAGATTTGAAAGAGCTCACGGTTGGACACGTGGTATCCCACAAGCGTTACCGGATAGACAAATCGATTCCTCAGTCCTGGACACTGGTGATACAAAACGTAACGGAAGAGGATGCCGGTAATTACATTTGTCAAATTAACCTCTCCAAACTCAAAGAAAAGTTTTTCCATCTATCGGTTTTCGGTAAGTTTATGATCAGTTTAGTGAAGCAGTTGCAATTCCTTTGTATTAAATACTTGAGTTAAGAGATGCATAGATGGCTTTTATGTTACAATATTTGTAGCTATGTAGCACAAATTGAAAACTGTAAAAATTTAAAGTACATATCATGGAACAGAATGTAACCGTGATGGACATGGGTGTTTTACGTAGACATTCTAAGGTGTCTGCGATGTGGACCTACCTTGATTCTTTATATTTTGACTTATGTCTAGCAATGCCGTGTGTCTACAGACACAAATTTGTTTCTATCTAGACATCTAAAGCACAATATCTACCCTCCGAAATCAAATTCCTTCTAAGCAACACAGTTCGGCTTTAAAACATAGTTAAATGAGTAAACATAAGGAAAATCACAGTACAGTTTGACTCACTAAGTATGGAAAAGCTCCATGCGTATTTGCCTTTAAATTGTATAACATATAAAACTGTTTGATCTAACTGATCATTATTAGCAATTTAATGCAAGTACAGTAGTTTGTAGTGTAAATGTTGTATAGTTGCTAACACCTGTATTCCTTTTTTTATATATGTTAACACAAATAAACGTACCTTGATCTTACGGTAAAGACCAACGCAAACCATTTTGCTCTGGTGTATATAAATTCAGGTTATTGTAAATAAGATTGAATTTAGCTTCGTAGAAATCGTCGGTTTTTAGTAATGAGTGCAGTTAAAGTGTTACTTACAGCCCATTAAGGGTACCAACACTAAATTCTTAGCAATGACAATGAATTTGGTTTCATAACATTCCTACATATTTCAGCAACAAAAGGTAGCTAGTATACACTCCGCAGACTGATCGTAAATTAAGAATGTGTTGATGATCTTGCTTTTAAACAATTATTACCAAGAATTAGTTTTAATATCGCGATTATTAATCTTCTAGTTAGTAAATATGGACTACCAAATTAGCATTATCAGCCGTTTGAGTGTCATTTTGAGGTACTTGTTTGATTGGATTGCGCTGCGCAATCTCATTGTGGACCGTGCTTCGGATTAAAGCGTACCATCGCTAACTTTACTATTTGCACCTTGAATAACGAAGTAGAAGGATATTATTTGCTTAACGTCCAAAAATACGAACACCTACACGCGCGTCAAAATTAGTTGAGAGCATGTGATATATGTAGCAGGCATCGAGCCCAGCACCATTGGGATGTCGGTGGGAGGTTCTACCTCTTTAACATGTTCAAGGTGGACAGCGCTTGGTAAAATGTTTAATAACTTATTTATGGGGAATTCTAATGCAATAGTTGCCTAAATATTTTGCGGCCCGCAATGGCAATGCGAACCTTCATTTGCACAGAAGCGAACATTGACCAGGTCGATCACTGGGACGGTAGCTGATAAAGCAGAAGATAATTGGTTGTTTCCTTTCCGGAAAACACGGCTCCCATGACACATCTCTATCTTATTTGTTCTCATCAGGTAGAAATAGTAAGTCTCGTGCCCGACAATATTGGGAATTTAGTTCTGACCTCTATCCCTGGCTCGTCGGTTAACGACGAGCAACACTTAACATAACGATTAATGACTGATTGACCGGTATTTTATAAGTACTTTGATGTGCTTTGATTTCGGAACATCATTACCACAACCACGTTGCTGGAATATATAAAAAGATATGCTCCCGCTTATGTAGCTGAACAAATTAATTATGTGTAGGCTTTCCGATTCTTGGTTAAAAGTTACTACAGCAACATACCATCTGGATAATGCTTTCAAGAATATATTTCAAGCCATACGGTAATGTTCCTTATGCTTCCAAATGGAATCTTGGAGATTCCACTCTACATGTTATGGGCTAAATCACCTAAACCAATAAGTTTTCAAAACATAGAAGTAAAATGACCTGTTAAAGGACGACGATAGGTAGCTAATTTAAAGTAATGCATGAAAGATTTAGAACAGGCGCTAACCTCTATGCTGATATAATTTACATATTTCAATATTCATACCAATTGGTTCAACTGTTGCACATCTGAGTCAAGCGTCGTTCCTATGCTAACTAGCATTTTTTTAGCTAGTATGAAAAATACGCACTCCGCATTCAGCGTGGATTGAAGTTATTCCATGTTCCTGGTAGAAGTTGGATATCTGTTTCCTTCGCTGCTTGTCACCTATTTTCTAGTTTTAATGCGCAGATTTTATAAAGTAATTAAATATGACTGGCACTTCAAGTGGATCTTTTTTATTCATCATACATTTTCTAACAAGATTATTAGAACTCATAGACTGGAGTCTAATTTTATTAATCGCTGGATAACGCACCACGGAGCGAAGCCTGTTTCAATATATATAAGACATCAAACATTCCAAGCTTTTGTTTACGACATGTATCCGACTGCGAAAATACAACTATTGGATCTGATTATGAAAGGGTATATTGGTCTGAGTTGTATAAGCACAGCATTTACCCATAATCTCTATTCATGAATATTTTTCCCTGAGTGTATTCCTCTAAATTGCAAGTAATTCGGTACTTTTCCTTTTCAACAACAGAATACCTTGTACTTGCCAAGTAATGTGCATCCATATGCGGACTTGTCACGAAAATGTGAAGGTTATTAATATAGCATAAGTATACCAACAGTCATAACCATTATACGTAATTTGAAATCTGAGACTAATCCAGAACCAGGTTATATATGTATGTCACCAACTAGATGCCAATAGCCTACTGTCATTGTCGAATTGGACTATGCATCTGCTATTAACTGATGAGCCAAATCAATAGCGAAACTTTAATGCATTATTGTAATTGTCATTTAAAAATATTGTTTCGATGTCATCTTCTTGTTCACCATAATAACAGCGATGGCTGTAGTTAAATTGCACAGGGTAATCAATGGTGCTGTTAAGAAGCTATGTGCCTGCTATCTAAACTGAAGAAAAGGCAGCAGGGCGAATCCAACCTTCTTTCACTCACCCTCATTATTTATCCAGTACCAGATGAACCGCTGGATAATCGAAGGAACCTGGATGATCAGTATGTGAAAGATGAGGCTGTGACTTACAACTTAACAGCGCCCCGCGGTAAGCAATTAATATTCCCCAATTTTGTTTATGCATGTGACGAGTAGACACTGGTATTTGCCAGTTGTACATACTGTTCAGACGGCTACGAGGATAGTTTTTTGATAAAAGCAATGGTAAATGGAACGTTCTCCATCGTTTTGTCAGATATCTATGTGACGATAAAATATATTTAACGCCTAAAACCCGGAAAAATTAAAATAAAACAATAATGTATGTAAATAATTTGCTTCTAATCAGGAACCCTGTATTTGTTTGACATGCTACCCACACACATTAGACTGCGGGTACTACTGCCAAAATCTACATACTTAATACCAATACACACTTCGATTAGTAAGGAATGAACAGAAATCGAATATCTCTGTTTCGCAATCGGATAAAAATAAGCAAGTTGCGATCAGAACAGCTGTTGTTTTCATCAATAATTATGAAACGAATCAAAACCTGAGCTGAACAGTTTAATTCAGGTACATTGATTATATTCTCGTTCTTTCATTCTTGCCATTTTGCAAACTCTATCCCACTATCCTTAAATGTAGTTTTGCAGAAACAGCCATTTTTCATGTGCGGTGCTCTTAATGGTACATCCCAAAACCGTGTTCCCCATTGCATATATCACATGTGTCTATGACGACAATGAGCGTGGCTAATCTCACCGGTCGGCAGTGATTCTCTAAATACTTTTTTATCATTATTATTTAGCCAACCCAGTTTAATGGAAATAATACAATTGCAATGATACGTGCACTCATGGGCGTATTTTATGCCTGTGCTGGTTTATATTATACAATACATACATTTTCGCCCCTGCCATCACACACAGCCCTTTTAGTCGGTCTACGGAGACGGAAGTATTCTAAACCTAACTCACGTCAATACATTTGAGCATCGCACAACGTCAAGCTAGGCAGTTATCGATAAACATCAACAGTAATCTCGACGCTAGCCATCGATAAACAATAAGCTGAGCTTGAGAGCTTTCAGAAAAGTGCTCTTCATTAAGTAAACTAAGATCGTCCTGGAGGCGGAAAATGTTGTGTTACTAACCTGTAAGATAAAATGGGCTATAAATCTTTAACGGAAATCTGCAAAAAATATTGGTAAGCTTAAGTAGTTTCGGACTTATCTTTGAAGTCACTAAAATCGAAAACACAATTATATTTGAGTCGGATTGAATGCTACAAAAAGCTCTTTAATTGTGGTAGACATTTTCATTAATGATAGATATACAGATGCTGCTATGTGTTGTTATTGATTGCAATGCGAACAAAACTAAGTTGTTCATACTGTTAATCACCTAATTACCAGCCGCATCTATGCATGGTACATATTAACCTCAGTTACCATCGTATGGACGAAGGCCCTAACCACCGCGCGTAAGTCAATCTTGCTTTTGAGTAGGATCTTCAAAAACGTTATACGATGAGTTTCTGTACAGTAACTACATATCGACCCTTACAGTCATATAGTCAACCAGATAGCAAAGTACACAAATCCGAATGACACGTCCTAGAACTCAGCACCACGCCAAACGAATCAGCTTCGACCATTTGCGAGCTCCCGCATAGTAGATGGCATCCAACCCAGTATTTTTCTATCACTGTTCGCAACCTCAGTGATTAAAAAACGACCATTAGTTCTTGACTTTTATCCATTGAAGAATTGAGGGTATTTTGCTTGCAGGCAAATATTTATCTAAAAACTGACACTTTTCCTACAACAAATACAAAAGCCAGCCACGGATCTATGTAGTTCGTGTGATAAAACTGGAACTACCAAACCATACCTGTCTTGTTTTTGAATATGACTGAAGATACTTGTAAAATTCACAGAACCGCGTAAGCAAAAGGCAGCTGTGATGGTGTCTCCTGAACAGATAAAGCGCATGCATCGTGGCAGCCGTTATACACAAAGTAGAGTCACGCACATCTTTTTAGAAGCATATGAAGTGCACTCCAAATGTCAATCTTACACTTATCAAACCAGATGAAGTTTGATACTAATACCTTGCCGTAAAAGGATATGTTCCCTGTTCAGAAGTGGAAAAGAACATTCGAAAATCAGCGTGATAAATAGGTTCATAGCCTTTTTATCCCGAACTTAATCAACAACTATTTCCAAATAATTGGGTCTAATTATATATTTCATGGTAAGGCATAAAATCAAATTATTGTTTTGATCCTTTTTACTAGGACGCTTACTAATACATTATTTTTGGTTTGTTACACAAACTGTTTGTTTCCTTTGTTGTGTTATCATGCTTTTTCGTAACAGTGCGAATTTATCCGACAGTTTCTTTTTGTCGACAAATTCCTTTTAACTTCTGGCTGCTCTAAAGATTACGCTTCGTAAAACAAACGGAATTTCTACGCCAATGAAAATGGTTATTTCGCTTTTCTTTTGTAAGCTTCTCTAATTTGTTACGATAGGGGCATTGAAAACGCAAATTAACTGTTAAAATAGCAAGACAACCGTCGGAAGGAGCGTGCTGCGGCTACTGAGCACCTGTGGAGACCTTAGATAACAAACTGCTATTAGCCGCATCTCGCTTTGAAAGTTGGTTGGGAAGTCACAGCTGCCGAACTAAGTATTTGCACAAGCTGTTGGTAGGATTAGTTGGTGCAAGAGAGAATGAAAGAGCTTAAAGAACGAAGCGCGTATGTGAAGATTTGCTACAGACTTGGGAAGTCTTTTACAGCGTCATATCATCATTTAGTCAAGCATACGAGGACAAAGGTTTGAGTCTCTCACAGTTGTATAAGTGTGTTATGCATTTTAAACACAGTGGAATCTAAAGTCGCTGATGATCCCAAGCCGGACGACTTTCTACATCAACCAAAGATAATCATGTCGAGTGTGTTAATTCTGTGATCCGTGGAAACCGTCGACTGTCTGTTCAAAAGTTGCTGGCGAATTGGTCATCATCGTAGAATCTTGCCATCAAATTCTATAACGTTCGGGGTATGCTGTGCGTAGGAAGATGCCTTAGGTGTGTGAAAACTAGACTTGAATTTTGGATCGTGATAATGCGCCGGCTAACCCTTTGTTCCTTGTCCCCAGCTATCTAGTAAAACATCCCACTCCCGTGTGTTCCCTCCACCGTCTTCTCTGGAAGTTGTCGTTGCAGACTATTACATTTTTCCAAAACATAAAACCATGTTGAAAGGACTTTGTTTCCAAATTAGAGAGGAGATTCAGGACAATGAGACAAGTGGCCTGCGCCCCGGGAGGCTTTCCAAAATAGAAGCACACTTTGAAAATAGTATAACGCTGGTGGAGGGGCTAATCTGAGAAGGCAATGTGCAATGAGCAATATATAGATAAGAACATGAGGTCGTACCTCTATTGTACACCACTCTTATAAACGTATTCTTGTATTAATTACTCAATAGGATTCAATTTACTTAATAATATTTGGCGAGACCTGAGATATTCCTACGTTTTCGCATTTACGTAACTATGGCACATGATACCAAAAGTAAACGAATAGTATTTTTCTCAGCCTCTTATCAGAGCAGAAGTCTTCAACCCAGTTTTTTTCCTGTAACCGCAAGTTAAACGCACCATAGTGAGATAGTGTCAGATACACGTTTCTTGCCAAAGTACTAAACCAAATTTTGTGGCCAAAGCAAACACAAAGGCTTTGTTCGTATGGCTATGCTCCGAGTGTTCCGACAGTTTTTAGGGAGATTTTCTGTAACCACAATTTTGCTCTAATGTCTAAATCGTATGGAATCAAGAATGCTTTTTAAATTTTGCGCATTTGCCAAACATGAGGAAAAGTGACTATTTCTTACGTGGAACGTGGGTTAAACTGGTCTGGGTACAACCGAGACCCTTTTAGCAATGTCATTAGATTATACGTTGTCAACTGTTTTCATTGTTCAGCTATTTCGTATAGCTGGTGTACACCAGAAGATATGATAACCAAGTATTTTCTTCAGTTCGTTTACGGCTACTTAAGCTATGGGAGACATGCTTGTTTTAAGTAGATAGACTCCAAATATGTTTTCAGGAAATTTATTTATTCCACAGCCGTCATTAATTCTTCGATTGGTCTATTGCTCTTATTAAAGGCTCATTAGCATTTTCATGGTAAGCATGAGGCTAACTACGTGGCATTCCGGATTAAATATTTTCTGATTAGATGGTTATAATTAGTTATAAATTGCCGCAATATTTTGGCTGTAGCGCTTTATAAATTATTGAACCAACATTTTCTAGATTGCTTCTATTGGATATAAATTGCCATTGTGTCAAAACCAGAAACAGGCACCTATTTCATAATGAATTTTTGTGTGCAGTGGAACGATGAAGTAGTGGTTCATAAAAGGTAGAAACGTAAATGTCTATAAGTCCCGTATAAATTCAAGAGTAAAATTCATAACATGAAAAAACGTGAAACGAACGCGCCAGTTAATAGACTCACCAAGAGGTTTGCAGGAGCAGATTTAATATTTTCTTTTAGTGTTTAGGGAGAATCTGATACAATAAACTGTGGTTTCCACACTAAGGTCGTCATTTGAAGGTTACAAATTATATCACATAGTGCAAATGTGTCAGTAATTCATCAACTCGTATTTAGATGTTAACAATTTAGGGGCAAGTATTATATACGCTGGTACGCAGTTCCTTGGCTGTGACATTTGAGAGCGAAAAGATTACGTGGACATTCCAGTTCGTTGTGCAGTGTGGCCAACAGATATATGTTTTGGTTGATTTTCCACTAAGATTGACAATTGTAAATGGAGCATTTAGCATCTGATACACCCTCTTGATATCTCGTTGAGGTCGAGTAATTCAGCTGCACATTCTCAGCATTTGCAACAAGAGTTGGTAAGAAAGTAGGGACAAACCTTGAACAACTTTTGTCGCCGTGTGTTGTTCTGCTTCCAGTGCCGTGAATTGGCGCCTCTTACAGCGTTGTCAGACATAAATAATGTATTCTACTCGTAGCCTCAGGTATGCGCCAATGCTTTGCGAGAGATTGAGGTGTCAAACATTCCGAACGCCATAAGCAAGAGTTCAATAAACTGCTTGACCAAGTATGATGCTTGCTCGTGCTATATTTGAAATGTCATATTGCACAAGCACATACAAAGGTTCTTGAAGCAGACACTTTAAAGCTTTGAGTATGCTTGTTTGCGATGTAGGTTTATGGATAAAATGTTGCCCTAGGAATATACTTCAGCGAAATTTACGTTGTTTTAATCAAACATTTGCTACTTGTATTCAGATGAGCACAAGTATCCCACGCAATACACCTGCCAAAGGTACGGTATACAAATAAGTAGGACAGAATAAAATGCTTTTATCCATGTGCTGTGTAACCATTGTTTGCTTGGGCTCGGTATCTTTTGTCTATGGACGAACACAAGCTTATATTATAAGAAACAGTTTGAAATATTGCTTCAAACTAAACTGGCATCTTAAGGTAAACATGATTGCTGCGCACGTGCAGCACCTTCCTGCCAACCACTTGACGTAAGCCACTTTACTTTTCCCAGCTAATGTTTTTCAGTTATAATTCATGTAAAGTCACAAACCGCAGTTCCTTATTCCGTGTCGCTGCACAAACGGATTGTATCTACGTGCCTTCTACGCGTTCTTTTAGAAAAATTGTGTTGGTCATCATTATGGACAGTCATAATTCATAACATATGAAGCAAAAGCACAGGCATATTTTAATTACTCAACCAGGATATTTATGTGCCTGCTTATACTTATTCCTTCAGTGACATTCAGTGATGATTTTTCGTTTTCCAACCAAACTGGTATTTCATAGGTTGCCAAATTTTAGCAAGGTAGAGTTTTCTACACAAAAAGGAGACTGTGACATTATGTTTAGATATTATAGCAAGATACTGAGAGAAACTAACAGTACCATAGCCATCATGGATATGATCAGTTCCAAGGAGAGTTTTTCTACCTCGTGAAGTCTTTAGTATATCACACAAATTTTTTCAGATGTATGGATCGAGGGAAAGCAATATGGCACTTGGGGTCAAGCGCATCGGCTGATGTGTTTTGCAAAATCTCAGCAAAACGCTTTGAGTTCCAGTATCCTATGGTTTCACAATAAACAGCGAATCTACCTACCGACACTGCCTGAAAGTCATGGTGTAAATAATAGAGTCTCCAAAGGCGAACCAACAAGAAAAATGCCATACATCGTTTCGTCGAAATGGTTCAATGACACGACGTTTGTCAGCGTGTTGCATATTACAAAGCTTACTGACGAGCATACTGGGCTTTGGGTTTGCAGCAAGTACTCGAGAACCTACATGGAACCTTCAGCGGAAGCATCAATCTTCCTGAAAGTAATTGGTAAGCGTTACCATGTATTACAATTAATTATACGTTTAAACAAATGAGCAAAATCTTTAAACTAACTTTTGAGTAATTACGTTTGTCAGATACTTTTGCGTTCTTTTGAATTTCATTATTAAAATAACATTACCTGCAGTAACTTATTGTTCACTACCCTATACGACGGCTACTTATCACAAATTATGTTAATTTTGTACATACGCTAATTTTTGCTTACTTCTTATCTCAAAATAAATTAGCTGATATTAAAGTGTCAAAAGTAATCAATATTAGGTTGGCTTATATCAAAATATACATTCCTTCAAATTGCATTTGTATGTAACAAATCTAAAAGAGTGAAGAACTCATGAAACTGTCAAATGATAACTTGAGTTATCTATTTATGTTTAAGTCATGATAAATGAGGCAAATAAAGAAACGTATATTGTAATTGCCGCTAGGTATGTATACGGCAGAGAAATGACTTACATTTCCTGCTGAAGGCGTTATGAACAATCTACAACATGGCAGCACATGTTGCTACAAAGAAATCTTGAATTTGTTCACCTAGGAAACTTATCCACTAAAACAACATTTTTATATTGCTTAACTCCCTTCTTTAGTTGGATAGCCTTCTGGGCTTCCTAAATGAGTATGCCAAATAAGTGGACTATGGCTTTCACAAAACCGTATTATGCAAATTTGAAAATTTTGACCGTACTCATGTAGTAGTTGCAACACTTGTGACACCTTAGCTCTCAAAAATTAAATTATCGACATGCAAGACATTCTGCTTGCTCAAGCATATTTTAACAGTCAAGCAGTGCAGGCTTATAGCATGAAAAGCTTGCAGTAATAATTTGCAGGTTCACCAAGCTTTACTACCAAATCTATTCTGTAAGATAATTTCAAATAACTTATTTACACATAAGAATATAAAACAAATCAAATCATATTAAATTTACAACTTATTAACTTGAACTGACATCTACTATATAAGCCGCAAGCATATGGGAGAGAGAAATCTACCAGTACCTGAAAAATTCTCATTTAGGTATCTAGAAAAATGGACCGAAGAAAAAACTTGTTTTAGGTAATTTATCGTCAGGTCTGTACTATAACATGAGTAAAATAGCAACGGGCAGTAAACTGGATTTGATTACTTCAAATGAGTTTAGATTAGTTGGCTGTCAGGGACATGAACAAAAAACAAACAGTTATAACAGCCAACTAGGACAAGGGAGTAGTTGAACGATTGCAGCTGCCTTTAGCAACACCCATTTCATTTGTCCAATGTAACTTAGGTTCTTCGGCCCGGTTTATTTTGGGCACACCTATTTGATTGATACAACCGAATACTGATAGACTCTGCGGTATCAAGGTTACGGTCGCGCAGGCGTTTCGATTACAGTGGAGAGACCCGGCTTAATATTCGAAAGGCATGAACTGGGTCAACCTCATGCCCACTCACCAAGATGGGCCATAACATGGCTAGTTATAGCCCCGGTACCGCCACAACGGAACCAGCATGGAAGCTGCTTCAACAGGTCCCGCGTCGTTCGACTGATTTAAATGGCGCCAGAGGAGCACTCAAACTGACAAGTGCCCATGCAAATTGTCAGCGTCGGCAAATTTCCTTTGTTGTGAAGAAAAAGGAGAGGCTCCGTTGAGAAGCTATATCCGAGCTTGGCGGCTAAGACTACTAACTTAACATCTGTTGGAAGGCTGCTGGTTCCATACACAGCATCTGCGTTCCCTTTGAAATGTAGTCTTATGAAAAGTCATTTGTTCGCAGCCGTTAGAAGTTGTAACAAGTAGGATTGGTCTAAATGTTCGTACAAATGAAACAGTCAGGATATTCTTTTTCGCGCAGTGCACAATGAATGAATGCCAACTTATTATCCAACATGTCTACAGAACAGAAACAGCGGACTCTCGTGGTCAGAAACCGATAAAGTTTCGAATATTACTCAGAAGAAGGAAATGGTGGAAGTTATTTTATTAGTTGGCACAGGCTTTTCCCGTAGACACGTCTTTGAGTCGAGCTTCCTGCCATTCTATTTAACAAGACACCAAGGACAGGCAATTACTTTTGCACCTGTTTATTGCAGGTAAAGTAAGATACTGATAGGAACTTATAACTACCTTATCCATTTAAAACTGTTGATGCTGAAGTAGCGGCAAATGTTCAACAACACATTTGCTCTGGTTGGCGGTTATCACTTAAGTCTGTTACTGGTCTATAACACTGGTCGCCATTTGATCTGATATTAATTAAACTGGTCGATTCCCTGGTTGCCCCCATAGCCATTTTGCTCATTTGGTTGTACAGATGTGAAGATAAATGATCGAAAATAGCCCCATCACTTGAGGTACCGAAGCATTCGTTCTGAGGGCTGGTGAAGGAGCGATTACTGGAGATATTCGCTTGCTTCGTTGAAATAGGATAAGTTTATGCAAAGCGTGATATATTCCGCGTTGAATGGGTGATGAAATAAAATTATGCACAATGCCCCTATTGTACTAAGAGAATCAGGTTACATAGATTAGAATCTATGCCTTGCTCTCCAGCCCCGAGCTTAACTTGGTTGATCAACTTTTCCTTATACATATTTTATTTGAGCATTTTACCTGGACATGTTGAATAGGCAATGATGGGAAACTGTGGTTATGAAGAAGTAAGAAAATTAGGAAGCCACTTGTTAGAATTGCCCGCAGTGTTACACAGTCCGCTTCAGATACCGATGGTGTGCAACGCAGTGTATTTACCAAAAAGTTTCCTTAGTCTTCCGGACAGTAACGATAGGCAACAGATACTCATTCTGTAGAGCAAAGCACCTAAAGTCCGTAATCACCTACTGTCTTCAAGGAATGACTTTGTGGAATGACACAGGACTTCGCCGGCTTTTAAACGCCCTACGTGAAGCACTGCAATACTGTGTCATTTTTGACCAAGCGCTATTAATACGAAAGTGCTGGCTAACTGCGCACAGTGTTACGGCTTTAGCTGTATTTAGTTGATTATTCCTGCAAGGATATCGGTCGACATATGTTCACATGTTTCCGGTTATTTCACATACCTCGGTTCATGTTTCGAAATAGATACAGTCGCTCTCTTTTTATCCAATTTGACTTGGCCGCTCAGTCTTCGAAACAAATCCAAACCCATATATGTCCCATGGTAGCGAAATACATTCAGTTGTAACAACTGTGATTGGTTTTTAAGCAGTAAGCTTTCCATTGCGCAACAAGATTATGAAATTATTCTGTGAATGACAACTGTGACAGTTTTGGTTTGGTTTAGCAGATTTTACATAAAGCTGCCCTTGCAACATTTCGTTAATTTTACTGTAATATATAAAGATATTATCACCACTCGGATCACGGGTCGGCGGCTTTTTCCGAAATTAACTATTAGTCGCTTAACACCAACTTTAAATATTTATTCTAGCTGTTTATAAATTTAGTACGCTACTTACAGTTTCGCCTGGATTGAGTAGGTCTATAATGCACCGAATAACTATGATGCCGGGTAGCGACACTGAGCCGTGGACTTACGTGATCTCTTCACATGGATGAAGTATCTGCTGTAAATATGGTAACATATTATACCTCTTCTGTCTCGTTTTCCTAAAGGTTTCCTATATTGTGCGATTATTCAGCGCTTGTTACACACTTCCGCGTCACAATCTGCCATTATCTACTGAGTGTACGCAACAAAACATTTTCTAAGCCACTAAAAAGTTACTATTATTATTTAGACAGTTTAAATTCACGTCATAGTAACATCACGTTTTCTAGTAGTGTCGAATTTTGCTCATGGGACATCGTTTGATAACGCACGAACATCATGCGCTGAAAAACAGGTATACATGCATACATGTATACATACTTGGACTATGGATGATTTTCTTTACTAGTCACAAATTTTAGCAGATTAACACTCACCTACTTAAGACCTAGTTGACATATGCAACAGTGAAAGTATACATGTCCACCGTTTGGAAAAACTGCTATCTGCACCTATCCAAATGTGCTTTCAATTATCAGCATTGCAACCATGCGCGTACCGGTTGAAGTTCCAGTATCCATGTATCCACAAAATGCAGCATTGATTTAACTTGACTAGAACTTATCCTGGAGATAATGCAACTTACATGAAGCATTCCAGCCACACACTTTTCTTTAACCGGATTACTTAACCGATAGTGTCGAGTCGCCTATTAAGCGATAATTTACTTTCACTATCACCAGATGTTAAGGCTACAAGTAATGCTACCAAATGAAGACCCAAATCATAGCTAAACATCTTCACATCGGACACTAGAAAAAACAAAATAAATTTTTTTGTCGGTCATTATCGGATACCGTGCTAGCTGAGAAAGGATGTGTATTTTTTCCAAATTCTGGTAATTTGATTAACAGAGCACTTCACAATATCCATTCTGTGTACATTTTAGCCAAAAATAGAACGCAAGACACAAAATATCCCCGGTACAAAACAAACGATCATGGAATACGTCCTCAGATGATGGCAGCTGTCCAGCTCACAATAATATCTGTCGTCCTTTCACTGTACACTTAAAACAGTGTTATTGTGTTTATTACTTGAGAACAATGCAGATTCTAGAAAAGTACTTGGTTCCATATAACCCTCCATGTACAAATCATCACCCCTGTTCAGAGACGTTTCACCAAGTGTCGCCCAGAAGCCAGTCAGAGAATGAATTTTTAAATGTGGAATATATGTACAGTATTAAATACATGCCTAATCTATGATATCTGTGATATATCCTTGAATACTTTCCTGTGTGCTATGAGTTAAAGGAACAGTGGTCTTTTGATTACTGGGCTTAGACAAATATATACAGCAGAATTACACGATGGGAATCTAGTCTTTAAGATGGTGAAATTTCTGAGCAGCTAAAGGTAAGCATTTATTATACCACTGTATGTGCACGCCGCAGAGAAATTTGAGCCATCTAAAAAACATGCAAGCGAAGCTTTGAGCTGTTTGAGAAAATGTTACTTTAGGTCCATGAGAGCAGTGCGAGCTCACAATCTTGCAGCCTAAGTTGTAACATCCATGTGTCCACCTCGTATAAATTCGGCTAATGGAAATACCCATATTCACAAGCACTGTGGATTCTTAAACATTGCTGACTATTTCAAATGGATTTTTGTTTCATGCCTTATGCAGTAGCACACTCGGGAACCCGTAAGGACTGCGAGTGGCAAGAGCAAGCATTGATGAAACTGGAATTACACAGAGTATACATGCACAAAACACTGTTATGACATCACTATGTCGTGCATACTTCAAGCATTTTCAAGCCAACTATTAAAGTTGCAGCTCAGGAGCGAAATATGCATCCTCTCCCACTATCTTTGCTTCAAGCGTACCGTGAAATTCTAACTCCGCCTTAATTTTTTGCGCCTCCTAGGTGAAAGTAGACTGTTCAACAGCGCTTCGGTTGCCTTCGGTTGTCAGACTAAACTTAACATCATGGTTGAATGAATAATCATTTCCCCTTTCTAAAAGTGGGAATCTATGTCACTTTACCTGGGAAACCAAATTCTTTTGTGCCGTAGAATAGCCTTCCTTTTCACTTACGAGTGCTTTTGGCCAGGAAACCAATTCTGATTACAATAGAAGTAAGAAAACTGATCGGAAATCACAGTTGAGTTAATTATCTACTGATTTGTTACATCACAGGCGTTTTGAAACACTGTCCATTTCACCGTAATTTGTAGCGCCGCAGTGATTGCCAGCTTCTTCTGTTTGTGTTTTACCTATGTCAGCCTGAATACATTTGATGGGTTTACGTGATAACCAGTCGTCATATGTTACTTCTTGATAGACGTGATGAAGATCCAGTTCATCTCATCCGTACTTACTTGTCACTTGAAAGTTTATCTTAGTTATTTAGGGAACTACTCAACTACAAGTGATGCCAGCTGTTTGTCGGTCTAACCTATATACACAACATGGTAACTGTAAGAATAATTGGACTGTGGATCAACTGAAGCTATTCGAAGTGCTATTGATAAATTTCAATTAATAGAATTTGGCAATCAGTGAATACCTACTAATTGCGAGAAACTATCCAGTCTTGTAAACGCAAAAGTAAAGAAAACAATCTCTCAAACCGTCTTGGTAATAATAATGTGATTCAAATTTACCCGTGCATTATCTTAACACCTATGGGCACGGCGTATGCAAATAAAAGCAAAAAATAAAACGTTAATATCTTACAACTAAGTTAATATATGTTTTCTTAGTTTTAATTACGTATTTGTTTTTATAAAAGCTAAACCAACATCATCAATACCATGAAGATGTCTTTTCAAATACCAGTGATACAGTCTATCGTTCAAATATGGCTTCTCTGTCGTTTTCGGTTTTATAATCCAAGCTCATTTCAGATAAGATTCACACATTGACTCTGGTTTGAGAACTGATTGAAAATAAATATGCGTTTTATTTTATGTTATGTAAAATCAGTCGGACTGCCAAGCGATATACACTGATAGGCACAAATTTTCATCAGTTTGTTTTTTAGGAATTAATCTGACCGTCCGGTAATCGAATAACCAAAACGTCATTTAACACAAAGCTAACACAATGAGCTTTCCGTTAATTGAAAATCCCGTGTTGCATAAAACCATTGATCCACATTCCCCAAGGACCTCACCGGTCTTCCGACAAATGAATTTGTATGCATGACTGGTTCAGAAATAACCAACGGCAGCGATGTTGTTAAAGACAAAAATGTAAACATCTGCCTAGAGTTATTTGCAGCCAACGATATTGTTTCTTAATACCCAATTTTTCACAAGTATTTTCATTCTAAAATACACATGTCGTGGTTGCGTTTTGGGTCACATATTACATGGAAGTTAATATAAAAAGCAGAAAGCAGTGTTCTCAGAAACATTTGCGTTGCATCTTTCACTTATAGAACTGCGGTAGCTCAGGTTGACAAAACCAAGGTACTTTCGTGGATACATTATATGTTGTCTGCTACATTTTCGCTGCACTTGAATTGAGCCACTGAACAATGCATAATTATCAATTAAAGCCTTAATGATAGCAGAAAGATTACAGCTTAAATGAACAATTCACCAAAACGCATTTTTGCTGTGTTAAACTACTTTAAGCTTCATTCTGTATGTGACTAGTATCTATTTATGTTTAAATTTGGCGTACTTGTAAGATACATTTGTTAACTTAAACCTCCTGTTCTTGACCAGTAATTTTTGTTTCCATTTAGTACTATGGGATTAAGTAATATACGTAGAGATTTATCACATCTAGTCCTACTGATACAGCAGTGACAGACTATAAAAACACTGTAAGCTAGCATCGAATTTATGTACAAATTATTCACCATGTACTCCTCGAAGCGGCGTAGACATTGACTTTCTTCGACTGCAACATGAGGTTATATTTGAAACACCTAAGAACACCAGTGGAGTGTTGTACTCCGGCCTCATCCCTTCGGGAAACCTCAGTAAGGCGTATTCAATCCGACCCCTGTGAGAAATGAAAACGTAACTAGATGTCTTCAATCTATGCCTAAGGTACCTAAGCTACAGAGGACGATAACGAGTAACACGATTAAGTTACTAGTTATCATATAGCGCCGCTCACTATCCACTGAACTGCACCGTTCAAATATCCTAATATTCCAGTACGCAGAACAAAATGCTTAAAATGCTAGAAATTAACTGGAGCCTTAAGTTTGGTAATTTCGTGCTTGACAAAGTAACCGCTATATCCTCTACACATTAGTAACGTGGAAGTCAATGAATAGTGATCTTTAGCGTTCCTCGTAGTTCAGTGGTTCTAACAACAGAGTGGCAACGGTCGAGTTAGGGGTTTGAGCCCCACAGAGGTCAGTTGAAATGCACACTACTAATGATTCACGTAATGAAAAAACGGCCGTACGATTTTGTTCCGGAGGTGCGATGTCCGTCTTATTGGGTCTAGATATGATGAACCTCTACTAATATCACCTTATTCATCAATATATCAAGTACTCGCGATGTTTTTCAAAATAATAGCTAAAATTTGTAGTTTAGGTATTTGTGCGTAAGTAATTCCACAAAGGGATGCTATCGAGATATAGTGTGATTTTCAATTGTTTTTAGCACATTATTTTGGTCACGTTTTATTATTTTACTCTGGACGGTAGTCGAGCCGAGTCAGCCTGCAGTCATCCGTGTTGCGCTTTATTCAGTTCCAGATGTCACTTATTCAAGCATTCATCCATTTGTTTTGTAGTAGCTTCAACGCCAAAAGTGAGGTTTGGGTCAACAGAAATATTTTCTGCACGTTTTTCAGTCCCTCAAAATCAATGACTTGATTCATTTTTAATATTAAACAATAGTTTGCCTCATTTAGCCGTTTGAAACGGCAACCAACAGATCATTTATATGTTATTTTGCGCAACTAAATGATAATTGTGGAATGCTAAAAACAGCCCGGCTTTGTCATTTTCTACCTGGTTTAAGCTAACGTAAATATTTTCATCTTAGCACTCTGTATAGGTAGGTGGAAACATGATAGTACTTATTTGCCAGTTGCAATAAGTGAACGGTAGAGTTTCACAGTTAGCAGATTACAGCCGTTTCATAATAATCCCAAGTATATTTTATTGATCTAATTGGTATTTATTGGTTTGATAAATTTAAACTGGAAATCACTGATAAACGTACGAAATTGAAGATTACACTTACGTGGCTGGCACAAGCACACTGAGGTACGTCTTGTAATGACAACGTCTTTGATTAAATCCATTCATGTATGTTGAGACTATGCCGACAACAGATCATTTTATAGACAAGATAAAAGTAGGCAACATTTTATACGAAGAAAAGAAGACAAAACCTCCCTGTAACCTACCTAATACGTTTTTAAATGCATTCATATCAATCCGGTGTTGGATGGAAATTCCGAGAATTCTGAACATCTTTAGCTAGCCAGCAGTTTTGCATATGCAGTCAGACTTGCTATGTGACTACTCATCCACTTTGCTGATACGCAGCATTCAGGATAATTATCTAGCCAATGGCCTAATGTATGAACGAATTAAAGTAGAGCAAACGATTTTGGTTTGTAATAAGAGACTTGTTCTTTTATCTGGAGACTCAAATTTCCAGTCTGGAATGACCGCAGTAATAGTGCAATAAAAACGGCCTCACAAGTAGCTACCGGAAATAGTGCAGAGGGAAAGTTGACAAAATTTCTATTGACTAAGTGAACATGAGGGTAAGTGCGAACACTAGAATATTACCAGTTTTAATATTAAAGCGTTTAGTTGAAAATCCTTTACGATAGTTTGCGGATAGCTGGTATGGTTTTATGATTTAACGTTGAAGGGTCAGTTCCAACCAAGTATAAAATGAAAGGTAGCACTTACCGTTAACTATGTGCTACTTTTTAGGCGCATTTATACCTGTAATTAATGCACAGAGCATACTCGTCCCCAAAATATTATCAGCTTTGGACAGACGATTATGAACTTAGGTTAGCATGCACATTAACGTTTAGACTTGATAATTTAGCGGATAATAAATAGGCAGCGTTTGCTTCTTTAAGACAGGTTCCTTGCGGCAGTTCGACGTTTTAAGTAAACTGCTTACGTGCTGAATTGCTTTGCTGGATTTAGTAGATAAATAGTATTTACTTTTCACTTGCTACCAAAATGGACTGCACCCTGGGACTCGACTTATGTGA